AGGAGGTGTTCTTCACTCCTTTGTTGAATGCACTCTGTATATATGAGCTTCAGTTTGAATGTCTTGGAGCATGATGTTTTGCTGGTTTAAAAGGCAGTTTAGGGAGAAAAAATGGAAGTATATCAAAACAGTTTCCCCAAAACAGCCAGAGACCTTGAAGATGAAACACCCTTGTGATGAAAGGATAAGTATGCAAAGATTATGGGAGGAGACTGCTTTGTTTTTCTACTATGGAGTGGCTGATGGATTAGAACTACTGACCTTTCTCACCAGGGCTCCTTATAAGGGTAGGAAAGAATACTCTAAAAGTAACATGCCTGATATGTACTTTATGTACATTTTTTTAATGTACTTTAGAGTATTGAATATGTGTTTCTCTGTGGGAGGGGAAACAAGCAAAATACTGCACATTTTCATAGGTGAACAGTTCTTTGGACTATGACATCTTGACTAACTCAGATCTGGTAGAACCAAGTCAGTTGATTCTTTTTCCTCCAGGCAAACACTGCTGATCATAACCTGGATTGTAACTCTGCCCTCTTCTTTCAAGCAAAACCTCTGTACAATACAAGAAAGGACATTCATGGTTCAGTGGTCAAATTCTTTCCTTCTAAAAATTTTGTTTTATTGGGATCCACAATCAATACCTTTGGTACCATAGTCAAGTATTAAAAAAATGTGTAGTGTTAGGAAAATCTGTCTAGGATGTCTCCGAAGTGCTAAAGAGCAAGGATGTCAGATTAAAGACTTATGGAGCACCTGATCCAAGCTAAGGCCTTTTTCATTGCTTCCTGAAAGAATGATTGAAGAATTGATGCCTTTGAGTTGTGGTGCTGGAGAAGAGTACTAAATATCCCATGGACTACCAAAAGAACAAACAAGTTTGTCTTGGAGAAAGGGCAACTAGAGTGTTCCTTTGCGGCAAGGATGGTGTGGTAGAACTTGTTGGAAATTTTGACTTCTCTAGACCACTGTCTTTAAGGTGATCAGCTCTTTCAGTTTCCCTGCCCTGCTAGAAAGGCATGGCCCAACCACCACCCTTTTACTCCTGGCACAGGCTGTGCCCGGCACTCTGATGAAGCACCTTGCATCGGAATTCTTGGACCCTTTTCCTCCGCTCACCTGGGATGGCGCCAACCTGAACAGCAGAATGGGGTTCTCGGGACCTTCTGGATTTCTGAACCCAAAGAATATCAACTGGAGGTTTGAGGTCAGGAGGAATTGGAGAAACTGTATATGGATTAAACATTGAGGCCTTTTTGACCCCCTTATTCTGATCTAGTACTGATCTTATCCTAATCTTGTACTGATCTTATTAGAATGACTTGTGATTACAATTGGTGAAGCTTTATCTCCATACTTTGGGCATGCTGGCAGGAGGGGCCGGTCCATGGAAGGAGCTTGATGATGTTGGGAAAAGTGGAGGGTCAGAGAAAGAGAGGAAGACCAGCAAGAAATGGCATGGCACAGACTGTAACAGGGAGCTGCAGCAGATCAGAGGTGATGAGGATGGTACAGCACAGGGCACGTTTCAATCTGTTGTTCAAGAGTCACTACGAGTCACAGTCCAGTTAAAAGCACCTAACAACAACTAACAGTATGTGGAGAGCCAAGTTCTAATCTGGGCCAGTGCACCTCAAGTGAACCACCACTCATCTGGCAGTGAGGCGTTTGTGTTGCTGTGATGTGGAACAGTTTTTGGCAGAGCTAAGATGGAAGGAAGGCCTGGCATCTAGCCAGTAAAACCCTGTGTACCGGGCAGCATTTTGTTAGGTCATACATAGGTTGCTAGGAGTCAGGTAACAGAGGCTAACAGCCCAGACCTTGTAACTACCTACCATTTACATTGTTCAGTGCTGTCAAGCCAACTATGACAGTTGGAAACCTTGCCTTCCTGACAGTCTCCATTATGCTCAGCCTCATTGTTACAGTCACTGAGTCAGACCATCTTTTTTTAAGATCTTCCTCTCTTTTGCTGACCTTCTTTTCTAAGAAGAAAAAAAAATCTGCTTTATTGCAAAAAAAAAGCCCAATTATATGCCTTTGCTTAGAGCTGTGAATGGAAGTTCTTGCCAGACAAAGTCAACACAGCTGGAGAGATGACAGCATTGAAGGTGCAAGTGATAAAGCAACCACTGCCCAACCTGATGTTCCAAATGGTTAACGTACCCAGCTTCTAATTGAAAGGTTGAAGGTTCAAGTCCAACCAGAGGCCTTTGGAAGGAAAACTTGATGATCTACTTCCAAAACATCAGCCACCACAAACACAGTAGAGACAGCTGTCTGACACACATGGGGTCACTGTAGTTGGACCTGACCCAAGAGCAAGTGTTGGTGGGAGTGAATCCGCTTAAGGCGTATGTGGAGAACTTTTGCAGGGAGTTGTTGAAGAACACGGGAGCTGTGGGGATGTGGTACGCTGTGAATTGCACCAGTGACTCAAAGGCATTGTTGGTGGTTTGAATTCATTAGTGACTCCATAGGGAAAGATGGGCAGTCTCCTTCCACTGCAGTTTCCAGCCTGGGAAACCCTGTAGAGGGTACTGAGAGTCAGACCTGGATCGGCAATAGTGAGCTGAGGTTCCACATCATTAGCGGGAGTGCGCAGGGTGCAAGAACAAGTCTACTTCTGGTGGAGAGAGGTGGGGAGGCCACATTCTAATTCCAACTTGGTGGTGGACACCAGGGGGACACTCTGTAACCGTTTCCGTTTGCAGTGTTGTTGTATACCACAGAGTTGGAACTGACCCATAGCAGACCCTCTGGCAGGTTTTCAAGTTAGCTGATCACATGGGAGGAGACTGCTCATCCTTTTCCTGCAGAGCAGCTGGTGGCCTTGAACTGCATGCCTTCAGGATTGCAGCACAGCTTCTTGCCACTAGAGCTCCCTCTGCCCACTCTGTGACCTTTTGTTGTTTGAGTCCATTTAATGAGTATGTCTCTGTACTATAGTCACAATGAGAAGAAACCCAAGTGTGTTGCAGGTCATTAGAGGAACTCCAGAGGACACATGGCAGGAAAAAAGTTTCTTTAGAGGAAAAATAAGGCAACAACATGTCTGTGTCTGACAGAGTGCTGCTGATGTGGAAGCACTGGTAGTGTAGTGAGTAAGGAGTCGTGCTGCCAACCCAGAGGCAGGTGATTGAAATCCACCAGCTGGTCTTCGGAAGAAAGATGGGCAGTCTTCTCCCATGGAGTTTACAGGCTCTCATTTACTTCATGGCAATGAGTTGAGTTCACCTGGATTTGTATCCTCATGCTCTTCAGGCAGACCAAATAACCCACTGCCCCAAGTCCCAGTTCCCTCATCTCGTTAAATGGGTTTAAAGTGTTGTATGCCATCAAGTCAGAAGCAACTCATCGCTGATCCTGCAGCAGGTTTTCAGAGGCAGTAAATCACATGGAAGAGACTGCCCATCTTCCTTCCGTGGAATAGCTGGTGGGTTTGAACTGCATGCCTTTGGATTGGCAGTGCAATTCCTTATCACTTGGAGAGGGTGAAACCAGGTTTCTCCTTGGAGGCTAGGATTTTGAAGCTCCGCCTCACATACGTCGGGCACGTGGCCAGGAGAGACCTGTCTTTGGAGAAGGACATCATGTTTGGAAGGGTGGAGGGACAGTGCAGGAGAAGAAGACTCCAGATGAGATGGATTGATACAGTAACTGGGGCAGTGGGGTTAGGTGTATCAGAATTAGTGAGACTGGCTCAGGATAGGACAGGGTTCAGACCTGCTGTACGTAGGGTTGCAGGTGACTCGATGGCACATAACAACTACAAGCCTCCAGAGCTATTTATTAGGAGTACTGGAAGATTTTGTTTACTTTCTCCATTTATTAATGATCTCGTAAATGCGTGAAGTTGCTGTATGGGGGCGTATCAGTAAACAGATGTCTTCTCACCGAGCTGACATAGGGGAAGCCACCAGTTAGTAAGATGTACCTTCATGTCCAAAGTACTAGGGGCTGTGAAGAAGCAGTGCAGGAAGTCACTTACCTTCAGTGCCAGACTTGCAGTCACCGCGCTCACCACTCTCCACCATCATGCTGATGTTCATGGTCAGCACCAACGTGCCTCGCACATCCACGTCCGATGGGCTGCTCTCTGAGCTCACCCAGCAGCTGGCGCAGGCCACCAGCAAACCAGCCCAGTACATCACGGTGCACGTGGTCCTGGACCAGCTCATGGCTTTCGTTGGCTTGAGTGACCCGTGTGCAGTCTGCAGCCTGCACGGCATCGGCAAGATTGGCAGCGCACAGAACTGGACCTACTCCAAGCTGCTGTGCGGTGCTTTCCCAGCACCTGCACATCACCCCGAGAGGGTCTGCATCAACTACTGAGACGTGAATGCGGCTGGAACAACTCCACTGTCCCTGAGAGCCAGACTCACCTGCCTCGGTCTGTAGTGGCCCTGCCCTTCCCAACCAGCCCACCTCCTCGCTAGGAGAAATAAATGGTTTAGAAAACAAACAAACAAACAAAAAGGAGCAGTGTAGGGTCAGGGTGAGGGCACAGGGATTGTGAGGGTGGTCAGGGACGTTTTACCCAAGGAGGTGTCCTCTGAGTGTATACCAGAAAGAAGAGAGGATCTCGGGGAAGGGCATTTCATTCCGAGGTCAGTGTCTGAGCTAGTGTCCGAGGAGGCACATGCTGCTGGGCAGGGAGATTCAGGAGACCAGTGTGGCCGAAGGAGGACAGGATGATGTCAGAGTTGTTGGGTTCAGGAAGGGCTCAACCCAGGGCCTGGTCCTCAACGGGATGTAGTGATGGGTGAGGTATGACAAGAAATAACCTGGTCAAGGACCCCTGGGTAGGACCCTTGGGCAGACAATGGTGGGCTAGTTGCTGAGGAGACAAAGCCCCCAAACCCCTGTGGGTGACACCGCCTACCCTTCTGTCGCTTAGGCTGAGGGCTGCTTTCTCTGTCCTGGCTCTGAGACTGGAGGGTCCTTGTCTCTTGCCCAAGACCCTGTCTAACTGGACTCCCCTTTTCTCCACACAGCTGCCTCTCGAATGATCACCAACAGCCTGAACCGAGACTCTCCTCCTGGCACCTCGCCTAGGCGGCCAGACACCAGCACCTCCAAAATCTCCGTCACAGTGTCCAATAAGATGGCAGCCAAGAGCGCCAAGGCCACTGGTATGAGGACTGGAGTGGGTAGCAGGAGAGACTAGTTATATGGTCAGCACTAGTGGTTAGCATAACTCGGAGGTCCTCTTCCCCATATTATAAGGAGCTTTGAAGGCCAGAGTGGACAGAACATCACCACCCTTCTGGGCCTCTCGTCCTTCATCTATAGATTGGTGGGTGGGAACCCCTGGAGATGGTGCACTTAATCTCAAGGGCACTCGGTAATTGTTAGATGCTGTCAAGTCAGTTATGACTCACAACAACGCTATGTACGACAGATCTCCACCCTGCCCCGTCCTGCGCCATCCCACAATCTTTGCTGTGCTCAAACCCTTTTTTGTAGTCACTGTGTCAGTTTATCTTTTCAAGGATCTTCCCATCCTTTGCTGACCTCTGCTTTTCCACACATAATATCCTCCGAGGACAGGCACCCCTCCTGACAACATCCCCACAGTAGGAGGGGTCTCACCATTGTTGCCTCTTAAGAAGCACCCTGGCTCTACATCTTCTAAGACAGTCTCAGTGGCTCAGCCTTTTAAAACAGATGTTTACTGAACCTCTCACACAGATGCCCAAACCTGTCCTTGATTCCTGAATCAAAGATGAAGAAGTTAACCATGTCCTCTCAGCAGCCAGAGGGATCCTTGGAAACCTTAGATCTGACCTTACCTGTAATCTAGTGGCATCAGATTTCATCTAACTTGAAGAGCAGGGAAGAGGACAGCCCAAAGTTGGTTCTCATGAGGTTGGGTGTCAGGCCTGTCTCCACTTTCCAACTCTTTGGCCAATTCTGACACGCACCAGCCATCGCAGTCTCTTCTCTGCTGGATTTGGTAATTTGTTGCAATGATTTCACAGAACTCATAGACCATACTCACAGTTACATGGATTATTAGGGAAGTAACAAGACCAGCTCAGGAGATAGTTCCTCAGTCAGGACAGCTTCCAATCGAACAGGCTTCTCTTGACCTCCACACTACTGGGGAAAGTGTTATGCCTCTTTAGCTCTGCTGACCAGAGCCCCAAGTCACCCCACTCCACCAGCAAGCCTCCTGCCCAAAGGTGCCCAGCAAGTCCACTCCAGCTATCTAGTGCCTGTCTCCTGGTTCCTGCTGCAGCATCTCACACCATGGTGAATTTAGGAATTTCTCAGCATAGGGATCCTGGCTCCAAAAGCTGTGCTCTTCTCCAGGCTCTTCGTGATGATAGTAGGTCCCCTCAGCCTCTGTGGGAGTGACTCTTTTATAAGCCACCAAGCCCATAAACTGACCCAATCACCCTCAGCAGGCCACAGCCACTTAATCTGCCTCTTTCACACATCTTATTTGCATAGTAAACTATCCAGTCCTTCTACAGATGTGAGTCTTAGCCAATTATCTTGGCAGCACTACAACTCAGGGCCAGGAAGACCTTATAATGAGAAATTGTCTGTACTGCACTATCATACTCTTGTGTTTACCTCTCCAGGTAACTGCTATAATACAGGCAAGGTGCCACCTACAGGGCCTCACAGCACACTGCATGCCACGAATCCCCCACCTTGCTTGCTAGCTCAGCTCCTTTGTGGAAGCTGTGCCTCTGGGATACTCGTCCTCTTTGGTCTTTTCTACTGAAAAGTTGGGGATGTAGCTTTTGTTCTCCCCCTTTCTCCTACGCCCTCCTACGCCTTGGCTGGACTCTTCCCCTCAATAATAATAGTTTAGTATTTATAAGGCACGTGTGGGAGCTGTTACATTTTTTTCTCTTGCCTCTATTTGGCAATCTCTCCTGTGGCTTGTGTGTCTGGAAATACCTCATCCAGCCTGTTGAATTTTGGGTTGTAAGCAAGAAAGTTCAGATACTAAAATGACAGGCAGCCCAGGAGGGACTGGCTCTCTTAGCCCTTGGCTCATTTAAAGGATTCTTTTTTTTTTTTTAATCAAGGTAAAATTTATTTGGGTACAATTTGCCAGTTGCGAAGATAACATTAATTTTAAAAAAGTGAATACATCCAGGAAAACGCTGTTTAGATGGAGCTCTTGAACCTCCTCCCCATCCAGCAGCCTCCCGTCTGAAGGGCTTCTACCTGGTCTGGGGAGTGAGCTGGGTTGTCAAGGACAGAGCTGTGAGGTGGGGGAAGCTGGTGCCTGTCACAGCAGGGAGGTTCCAAGAGCTTTCTGTGACCTCTTCTCCCCCAGGTCTGTGCCTTATGTTGGTTCAGACTCTGCATGCCGTGAGTGGGGAGATGAGGGCGTTCAGCTTCACACCTACATAGAGAGAAAGAGCCCATGTGTGCCCTGGGACCTGGTGTCTGGTGCCTGTTCTGTTCCAGAGGCCCTGACCCCCTCTGCCTCCCTCCCAGCAGCCCTTGCCCGCCAGGAGGTGGAGAGTCTGACTGTCCCTGCCAAGCGGCGCCGAGTCACTGCGGAAATGGAGGGAAAATACATTATCAACATGCCCAAAGGCACCACCCCCCGGACACGCAAGATACTGGAGCAGCAGCAGGCAGCGAAAGGTACAGGTCTGCAGGGTCCTGTGGGACAAAGCCTGTCACAGCTTTGGTCCTAAAGGGTTAGGCCCAGGGGACTGAGATGGTGGCTACAGGGGCGGGGATGCCTATCACTTTGCCTTACCTTCCTGCAGTCAGTGGTGCCTCTTGGCACCTCTTTTCTCAGGGCCAGGGACAAGAACTCAGTGAGGTGCTACCTGGAGGCCAGGTGACACAGGTCTGCTTGGGGAAGGTGCCCAAGGAACGAGACTTGTCACTCTGAGCCTGAGGGGTCTGGTTGAGTGTAAAGCTTGACTTTGTGACTGTGGCTTCATAGCTGGCCTTCGTGGCAATAGGATTATTTTAGAGTATTGTATATGTTTCTGTGGAAAAACACATGATGCAAAAACATACCTGGCACAGACAAACTTTCTTCTCACTCCTGTATCCCCCACGCATGTTGTCAGCCTTTGGCAATGAACATCTGTACAGTCAGTGCCTATGTTATACATGTATGTAAGTGTTCCTTTTTAAGCACAACTTCCTATAGATATTGTGGAACCCTCGTAGCATAGGACATTAAATGCTGGGTAGAGGAGAAAGATGGGAAATCTCCCAGGAAAATTTACAGTCTCAGAAACCCAGCGGAGGGTCCCCCGTGAGTCAGAGTGAGCCGACTGGTGGTGGGTTTTATTGATTTTTTTTATATAGATATTGTGTAATTTTCATCTATTCAGTATACTTAGTCTTTTCATGTTAGTGTTTATAGATCTACTTCATTCCTCTTAAAATTATTGTAAGAATATAGATCACTCACTATTGTAGCCTTTGGGTCAGAATCAACGGACCCTCCAGTGAGTTTTCAGAGGCTAGAAACAGCACAGGAGGAGAGTGTCCCTCTTTCTCCAATGGAGCAACTGGTAGATCTGAACTATCTGCCTTTGGGTTTGCAGTGTAGCTTCTTAACCATTCAGTCACCAGACTCCTTCCAGTAGGTTTTCACAGGGAGTAAATTACATGGAAAGAGATTGCCCATCCTCCTCCCAGAGCAGCTGGTGGATTTGATCTCTGTGCTTTGGATTGGCGGTGCAGCTCCTTACCACTAAGCCACCAAAGCTCTATATAAAGAAAGATGTTTTCGCTGTGAAGTCAGTTCTAACTGAACTATACATGTGAAAAAACACTGAATTGGCAAATATGTAGTATGTATACACACATATATTTATACATACACACACACACATATTTGCTAATCAAACATTTTTCATGTGGACAGTTCTCTACTTGATGCTTTTTCAATGGCTGTTTAGTATCTCCAAAGTATTTATGGAACATTTATGAAATTTATGAAACGTTTTCTGACTAATGGATATTTCATTTGTCTTGAGGGGTGAGGGCTGAAATCATCCATAAGATTTTCAGGGGTTTGTGACCCAAAAACGGTGGCAAGAACAAGCAGGGGCTCAGGATACCCTTTGACATGTACTTAAGGTCTTGATGGGGCACAAAGAGTTTAAATGTCAGCTGTAGTTGATGGTTCCCAGATATGACATTAGCTAGTTGTCAAGGTCAATGTCAGCCAAGAGTAAAACCCCAGAACCTGCCTGGGCCTGGTTTGCTCCTGTTGTACCAGCAGCTTGGGGCTTGGATGGTGCAGGCTGACCACCTCACTTCCTTTGCAGGTCTCCAGAGGACGTCTGTGTTTGACCGCCTCGGTGCTGAGACCAAGGCAGACACAACCACAGGGATTAAGGTGTGTTGTAAGTGGGGTGGCAACTTGGAGTGCCACACTAAATTGTCTCCCCAGTTTTTCATCTTTTCCTCTCCCTGCTCTCCGCCCCTCTGGAGTGTCCTCACTTTCAGGTCCCCTCTTTGCACAGGACACTTTCCATCTGTCTTCTGCCCCTTATCTGGAGGCTTCCTGGATGCTTGCTCTTGATGTCTCTGAGTCCCTCACACTTATTTTGGTCCCAAACAGACTTCAACATCTTCCCCTTCCCCTCAACTTATTCTTCTCTTGGGCCACCCCCCACCCCCCCCATTCCAGGCTGTCACTGAGTCTGATGACAGTTTGTCACCATCTCCTTGGTCACCCCTCGTCTGAACCCTCCCTCCTTCCCTCTTTCCTGCAGCATGAGCTGTCTGTCTGCGTTCTACCTGAACCCTTAGATCTCCCCACTTGCACAGCCCAGAAGGACCCCATGCCCTGGCTTGTTACTGGACTCAAGTTCACTCTCTTTGCTTTGGCCTGTCAGTCCTGTAGGCCCAAAGCCCTGAGCCTGGTCAGGACACATGCCAGAGAGCCAGCTGGCGCAGTAGGCCAAGCAAATTCAACTCTTTGTACCTCAGTTTCCTCGTCTGTGCAAGCCCCACCTCATAGGGCAACTGTGAGGACTAGATGACATCAGGTCCACATGGGACTGGGCCGTCCACGTGCAGTGGGTGACTTTAGATGTCACCATCATCGCCAAGCCCCAGCCATGTTTCCCACCTCTCAACCCCTCCCTCACCAGCTTTCAAGCACTCTGGTTTCTCTTACTCCCTGGTATCTTACCCCGATACTGCATAAAGTGTGTGGTGTGGTGCAAGTGCTCAGTATATACAGTTGTCACACATGCCTTTTCTCTTTGACCTGCGCTTTGGAGCCCAGCTTGAAAGTTGGTGGGAATTCTCCCAACTTTGGTCTTCCATTCTCTAGCACACTGGTCTTCCCAGCATGTACCACTGTCTTCATTCTAGAGTTATTTCTAGTTCATTCCTTTTAAATTTTGTTTTATATTGGTTTGCATACAAAATTTGTATACATTATGTTTCATATAATCTTTTCTATACATTGTGTTTTATAAAATTAATCACCATTGAACTATGCCCCCCCCCTCCCCCAATTACCCTGTCTTTTCAGGTCCCCACCAGATCTTTCTCATTTCATTAACCCCCTCCCTCTGGTTCATTTCTAACAACAGATGTGTCTCCCTCACTGGACTGGAAGCCCCACAAGGGCAGGGACTGGGTCATTACTGTGTCCCCAGCTACAGAATCAAGGCTCAGAGAATATTTGTTGATAAATGACCAAATTGATCTTTTCACTCACATCTATCTTTAGACTTTCACAAATGACATTCCTTCTGCTTGGCACATCCTTTCTGCTGCCCTTCAATTTTCTGACTTCATCTCTGATGTCCTCTCCTCCCAGGAGTTTAGGGAAGGCTCCCAGGCAAGTCTAGGTACATCTTCTCACCTCATCTCCAATGCTTCCTCCCTCCACTGAGAGTTGTGGAAGGATAGTCTGGGCCTGTCTTGATCATGATCACTGCTGCCATGAGACCAATTTCAGAAGCGGCAGCTGTCTTTGAATATATGTACAAATCTATGACTAACATGTCTGTCCTTGACCCCCTACAGCCCACAGGAGTCTTCAGCCGTCTGGGGGCCACCCCAGAGACAGATGAGGATCTGGCTTGGGACAGTGATAACGACAGCAGCAGCTCTGTCCTCCAGTATGCTGGGGTCCTGAAGAAATTGGGCCAGGGTCCAGCTAAGGCCAGACTCCAGCCAGCTCTGACTGTCAAAGCCAAGGCTACCAGCTCGGCAGCTCCTACTGCCACCCCGACACTGCAGCGCCTGGCATTGCCCACTCGCCCTGGGCTGGAGAAGAAGCCAGATTCCCAGTCTAAAGTCAGCATCATCCAGAGACTGGGCAAAGCTGCCCTTGTGCCTGAAGCCCAGGACAGCCAGGTCACCAGCACCAAGAGTAAGTCCTCGGCCAAGGTCAAGGTCACCATTAGGAAGACTCTGGTGGGGCCCTGGGGAAGCAACTCCAGCGAGGGCCTTGGGGCCCAGATGGACCATACAGGATCCGTGAGCGTGTTCAAAAGACTGGGCCACAGGACCTTCTAGCCCTCATGTGGGGCAGGGCACGGGGGCAGAGCCTGGCTGGTGGCCCATCTCCCTACCCCAGCTCTGAGTTCCACAAGTCTTCCTCGAGGGTTTGCACCCCTCCTTGCCAGCTTCTGGATGACACTGTCTCCTTCAGGCACTCAAGCTGGGCCCCACTGTTCTGGGAATTCACCCTGGAAGTTTCTCTGAGTCTGGGATAGCCGCCACAGCCTGGCCTTGCCCATTTGAGGACTTTGCCCTTCTCTCAGCTCCCTCTGTTCTTTCCACTCTAGCTGTGGCCTTAAAGGGCTCACTTGTCTACCTTCCCCAGGGGCTACACCTCTCTCCATCCCTCTACTCCACCAGCAGCATCTGCTGCCTTAAACCCCACCCTACTCCCTCCCTCCATGGGTGTCACATAGAGGGGCTTCTGTCCCCCGAGCCTGCCATCATCCCCCCTCAGTGCTCTGTGCCTCCCTCTGTTGCTTTAATATCTCAGCTTCGCCCTGTCTTCACTCTGTTCATTTCTTTTCTGTTTTCTGTCCCCGTGGCAAGGCCCGACTGTCCGCTGCATCCTGTCCGACCTGCCTGAACCGCCGGCCTCCCAGCGGCCCCCTCGTCGTCGGTGGCATCGAGCCGGCAGAGACTGTTAGCTGCCCACCACCCGCATGCTGGAGGGGTCTCCCTGACCCTGAGCCACACCCAGGGCACCTCAATTTTCCTATCTGGGGCATCTTTTTCTCTCAAAGCCCAGGATGGGGCAATGGGTATGGGCCCTGGGAAGGGGGGCCAGTGCTGAGACAGAATACAACTGCTCTTTTAATATATTTTTGTGACTTTCAAATAGTTTCCCTTCTCTCCTTAAGGATGAGCTTTCCACACCAAGCACAATTTGCGGTTTGGGGTGGCTGGTGCTGGACAGAGTTGGGAGCTTTCTGAAGGTCAAACTCACACACACATAGCCACAGACCTCCAAGGTGAGAGGAGCTCCTCCTCCATTAGGAACAAGCCACCAGCTTCTGTCACACCCCTGTCTTCTGTCACACCCCCATCTCTTGGGCCTTCTCTGTGAGGGGTTTTCAGCTAAGTGATTGTTTGCTTGTGCCTGTATAGCCCCACCTCTATGGCAGACTCTGTTTCTAGTGCCAGGAACCCAGCAATGAATAAGAAAGCCAAGTCCCCACTTCTCTAGTGAGGGAGGAGCGGCAGTGACATAATAGGCAGAGCTATCCGTAGAATCAAAGACTTGACTCAAACTCACTGCCTCCAATTTGGAGCAGACTCATAGCTGACTCTCCAGCGAGTTTTCAAACACTGTAAATCACATGGAGGAGACTGCCCATCTTTCTCTCTTGTTGTCACTAGTGGATTTGAACCAGCCGCTTTACATTAGCAGCACAGTTCCCCTACAGACTCATATAACCCCCAGTAGAGCTCACAGAATCCAAAGGATGGGCAAGAAATCCCCAGAGCCATCTGGTCTTGGGGAATGGGAAAGCCATTCAGAGGGCTGAGCTAGGAATGAGAAGCTGGCTTTGTACCTACCACTCAGGAGGTGAGGCTCCAGACAGAAGGAAGAACCACGGGCGAAGCCCCCGAGGTAAGAGCACAGGACTAGTGTGGCCAGAGTGAAGTGAGCTTGTGACACAGAGGGGGCGGGCAGTTACCAGCTGGTTTGGGCCTGTGGCTACCAGGCTGAGGACTGGATGCAATTCTGAGAACCTGAGGAAGCTCTGGAGGCTGGGGCATAGAGCTATAGGGTCTGAATACCTTATCTGAAAATGACTCTGGCTGCTCAGAGAATAATGAACTGGTGGGATAGTGAGGTAGAAACAGGGAGGAAGCTCCTGGAGTAGCAAGAAATGAAGTTGGCTTGGCATGAACTGGTAGTAATGGGTGTGACTGGCAGATGGGCCCGAGGTGTGTACATGGAGGACACACTGACAGACTGGAAGCTGAGGTCAGGATCATACCTGGATTTGAATCTTGGACATCCAGGAAATGGTGGTGATGGGGGACCAGAAAGGAGGAGCAGTTGAGGAAGGGGGTGTCCTCTTCCATCAGTGCTGAGTGGGAGTTGTCAAGCAGGCTGCAGGGCTCAGGGTGCAGCTGTTCCCAAAGCCATGGGGCTGGTGAGAGGACCCAGGGGGGAGGTGGGGACCTTTCCCCACCTGACAGGAGCAGGCTTGGAGTATGGGGAAAAACTGATGAAGAGGTGACTAGAGCTCAGCCACTTCATTTCTGCTGTCCTGTAATGTCATGCTGGGAGACGACTGGGTTGAGGGGCACAAGAGCCAAGGCTGGATGACCACTGGTTGACTCAAAAGGCTGTTCTGGTCTTTGTGTTCCTAGTGATTTCCTCTGGTCCCACTACAACAGTTAGTTTAGTAACTGCTGGGGTGAATTGTAGGCAATCAGTTACTAAATTGGAAACTTGATAGAGAAACACCTATAGCACACTTAATGTGTAATCCTTTGTGGTACCAGGTAAGTTCTCTTATTGATCTTTATGAGGCCTGGGTTAGGGGAGTGAACCACCAAATGCCCTAACTCAGCTGGCATGTGGCAGGGCTGGGTCTGAGCTCAGGGAGCTGACTCAAAGTGCCTCCCCCTTACCCCTCTCCTGTGCACCCTCAAAGGCAGAGCCCTCTTAGAAACGGTAGTGAGTCTCAAGATAGTAGCTTTTGGACTCTTGAGCTATTTATGTGGTCATGTTGACACTGCCCCTGAGCTGTTCCATGGGAGCACTTGAAGCTTTGGGCAACTGGCCTTGGAGTGTCTTGCCCCAGCTGCCCAGGTGAACCAGAGCAGATAGCTCCATCCAGCTGTTCTGGAGTCAAGAGTGCTTAGCCCATTTGACTTAGCAGATCCCAAAAGTAACACTGAAAACTGTGTGGTGTTTGAACAGATTCACATTTCAAAATTCAGAAGGCTCCACCAGGAAGTCTCTTGTCTTCTAGTCCCCTTTCCCCATGTTCCTCCCCAAGGCCACCAATGTTAGGGGTTCTTGTGCAGTCCTTCCAGGGATATATGTGTGTGTGTGCCCACACCCCAGATATACTCATCTTAACAGCTACTTAACCCAGACTGTTAATAGTTTCTAACTATTACAAGCAGTGTTGCAATTAAATAACCTTGTTCATGTGTGAGATCAATTTGGGGTGAGTCTGAAACACTCCGGTTCTGTTATCTCAGTGCAAATACCAATATAGCAGATCTGAAGTGGGATCTCCCCCAAGACTACTGGGCTTCTCTGGGTGATTTATTTATACATTTACCACCCCGTTCAAAAAAAAAAAAAAGGAATGAAAAGCAGCTAGTCTAATTGGAGGCACGTAGGATCTCTGGTAGTGCTGTGGGTTAAGAGTTTGACTGCTTTCCAAAAGGTTGATGGTTCATACCCACCAGCCACTCCATGGAAGGATAAGGCAGTCTGCACCAGTAAAGATTTATAGCCTTGGGACCCCTATGAGGTAGTTCTGCTCTGTCCTGCAGGGTGGTTGAGTTGGAATTGACACAGAGGCATTAGGTTTTTGGTTTGGGGAAAGCTGGTCAGGGGATGCTAAGAGCTAACACTGATCATAACCTTTGCTCCAGAAAGTACTAAACAGTTTGGTTAAATTAGTGTGCCTGTTGAGTCCTTAGGGCAACACGATGAAAGGAAACTTCCTGTGCCCATCCTATAAATAAATGTGGAAATGGAGGCACAGAGAGCCCAGGGTACCTGCTAACTGAGAGCAAACCTGAACCAGGCCAGGCAGATGGTATGGATGGTAGTCTTGGCCCTGCCATCTCACCCTGATGCCTCACTGATGGGTACTGTCCAAGATGGGAAGAGCAGACTGTCTGTGGCAAGCAGCCAGGGGCCAATGAGATGGTCAGCAAGTTGGGCTTGACCCCTCCTGTAGTGATCTGAGCTGACTTGGCCTTACCTTGCTCTGGCAAACATTTCACGTGTTACAAAGCTCCGTTAACACTGACAATTACTTACCACTCCCACTCTGCCAGTAAGCCTAAGCCCACAGCCTATCTGTGTGGGTTGAGTCAGCTGACTAAGCTCCCTTGGCAAGTGCCCAGAGACACTCATTAGGCTGTAAGTCATAACAGGAAGAGACTGCCCATCTTTGTCTCACAGAGATGCTGCTGGATTAGAACCACCAGCACTCTGCAGCCTTTCCCTTAGTGCAACATGCTATGGACCGCCAGAGCATCTTTCTTTTTCATAGTAATCTCTTTTTAACAGTGATTTTTTTTATTGGGAAAAAACATATTGGGGGTATAAGGAGGTGAGGGTTGGGGGCAGAAGGGTGAGGACGGGCAGGGATGCAGTTGCAGAGCTGCAGAAATTGGTTGGTGGGGGGAAACGGATTTTTTTTTTAGGTACCATTGGATTGGAACCAACTCATAACTGACCCTCCAGCGAGTTTTCTGAGGCAGTAAATCGTATGGGAAGAGATTCCCCTTCTTTCTTCAGTGGAGCAACTGGTAGATTTGAACTATATACCTTTGAGTTAGCAGAGCAACTCTTTACCACTAGGCCACCAGAGAGGCCCTTTTAAATGGTAGACTCTAGTTTTTAGAGTAATTAGGGAATTACAGGGGGCGGGGGAAGATAGTGCTGAGGCTTCTTGTATACATCTAGTTTCCCTCATTATTAAGATCTAGTAGTCTGGTCATTTATTAATGGACCAGTTATTGGTCAATTAAAATTAGCTGCAGCCAAGACAATTCCAACTCATTGTAACCTGATGTGTCGTCAAAGTAGGACTGTGTTAGAGGGTTTTTACTGACTGAGTTTGTTGGATTTATTTTTAATAGTTAAAGACAGGAAAGTTTATTAAGACAGAAATCCTCTCAAGATAAGAGTGGGTTCATCTGAGGAGAGATGAGAAGGGACCAAAGACTGCATCTTAAGAAGTAAAAGAACAGGCTTTTCTTCCAAGGTCCCTGTGGGTGCACTTGAACTGCCAACCCTTTAAAAGTTAGCAGCTAAGTGTATTGACCGTTTGTACCATCCAGAG